ATTTAATTTTTAAATTAAATAAATATTTCACTCCCTTAAATGAGACGCACGATCATTAAACTACTTTTTAATAAAATTTATAATAATAATAAAATTTAAAATTTCGATGATCTCATTCAAACACGGTTCAAATCAATGTTTTCAAACTTGAACCGGAGGTCAAACCATTTTGACCTTTGATTCGTGGTTTAAATGGTTCAATCGGTTTAATCGATAAAACCACCGGCTTAATGAAATACTATAAATATATGATTTTGCAAAAGATATCATTGGTAGATGGCTGAGCTTCTATAAGAGAGATTCGGAGTTCAAGTCCTCCCAATAACAAATTTTAATATAATTGTGCTTAACGTAGAATAAGTAAATTGTAAAGCATTAAAATGACAAAAGAACATTGTGTACAAGTGGAAAAGCCGTTGTTCTACAACTTGGAGACTAAGTGTTCGAATCTCAAGCTTGTAATCAGTAATAATGTTTAAAATCTTTGGGATTTATATGGGTTAAATAAAAGTCCAAGCACTCATTGACTAAACCATTGCATTGTCCTGGTGGCAAAGAATCAACCCAAAGCCTTTAAAGTTGCAAGTTCAACTCTCGGCGGACACAAATTTCTCAAGATTTTATGCCCCCAGCATTGAACCGTCCGGTTGAACGGTTTGAGTGGTTTCAAACGGTTCACCGGTTCGAATGGTTTCAAGCGATTTAACCACTTAAACGGTTCAAAAAATGCAACCGAACCGTTTAGATCACCGGGTACCGGTTCAACCGGTCCGACCGTCCGGTCCGGTCCGGTTTTCAAAACCTTGGTTCAAACCATTGCCCTACAGACTCGATTCTAATAACGTATGTCTAAAACAACAGCTGCGGGATCTTTCCATAATTGCTGTTTTCGAAATACATTATTAAATAAATCAGGATAAGATGAATCAAACGATCTGATTAATAATGCCTCTCTTTGTCCTTATGTGAGTCCGAGATGACATAATAACATGTGGCTCTTTCTCCACACCAAAATAATATTTAAGTTCAGTGTCATTTGCTCTTTCGATATTCTCAAAAAG